TATAGGGAAGCACATTGCCTGTCATATAGATCTTATGATCAGAGGCTCTGATCCCTCAAGCTGATAAGTTCAGGTGGGCCTCTGCGCTTATATGAAGCCAGTTGACTACAGTAGGATTTTGTGGGCACATAAAACGCTGTCCATGTGGATCCAGTTTGCAGGCTTGAGGCTTAATTTAAGATGTGGCATAAACAAGTGAGTATGAAAAACAATTAGAGGGCAGACAAGGGCAACGGTAATAAGATTATGTACATAGCCTATGTAACTGCACAGCTGTATGGTTCCAGAACTTTTAAGTGCTTTTTTCCCTCCTCCTTTTTAAAAGAAACTATTTTTTGTTTTGTAAATGTGAATAGTGGGTATAAGTGCGCTTGGGACTGTGGCAGGGGAGAAGCCAGGAGAGATGTTGGTGAATGATGGATTACAAAATACGGGGCGGAAGATGAGAGTGGGTAAAGGAAAAATGGCATGTGCATTAGGGAAAGAGGCATGGCACTATTTGGGGAAATGAGTCCATGATATTAACAATGAAAGTCTTGGAGAACAGTCTGGGAGGAGGTGAATCCCAATGAGGAAGGAGTGGTCATCCTTGGTGCCCTAGTTCCTCCAGAGCTGCAATACCAGTAGTCTGGGGAGTCAGTTTCCTTAAACCCTACAGAGTCAGCTACCATTCATGCTACAGCTACATAGGATTTTATAACTAATTAGAACCATAATCAACCTAAGTGGTAACAAGTTATACAGCTTGGCTTGTATCCATATAGCAGATTTTCTGCCCTCACAGTGTTTGCATTCACACCTAGCACTCTGCCTAATTGTGTTTGTAGGAATGATTTCTGGGACTCTGTTCCATGGTGACTCAGAGTCTCTGCACCACGTTCTATGGATATTTTAAAAAATCTCCACAGTGCAAAAATGTGGGATATTTGCCTGAATGCAGTGTAGTTGTAGAGATTTGAAAAAGAGCTCTTGTGTGGCTCAAAAGCTTCTCTCTCACCAGCAGAAGTTGGTCCAATACAAGATATTATCTCACCCACCGTGTGTCTTGGATGTCTGCCTGCACAATTATGAGCTGAAGGAGGAGTAGACTTACTTATGGGGTACAGTTAGTATGGTTAAGGGTTCCTGTTCATGCAGCATAATACTTCTATGCATAGCTACTTGCAGGAATCAAACTGTGTCAGACTAGGCAGGTAAGAGGGTTGGCATACTGTTAAGATTCTCCTGTTAACTAACTGACCATATGTTTTGTGGATATTAACTGTGTTTTTAGCTAACCTTGTCTCAAGCCATTTAAAGTCATTTAAAAATAAATTTAAAAAATTGTTGTATAGGCAGATCTGTTAATACATTTTTTTGCTGAAAAGCCCCTTACACATGTTAACAGGGGAGCAGCAAAATAGTTAAATTTTGTAAAGGGACATTTTCTTTAAAAGGTGCTGGGTTAGAAACTGCATTTAAAAATTAGCATTGTCATGTTTAAAAAAAAAAATCAAGTTGACAATGTCTTTAACTCATTTATATACTTAACTCTCCAAATCTCCTTTTTAGTTGGCTATTAGGAGTGACCATTTTCCAGCTAAACTGGGCAACTGGTGCGTTGAGACTTGTTCGATCCTTGTTCAGTGAAAGACAATCACTAATATGGCAGCACCTGACTACTTTATTCCCCGCACCTCCCCAAGTGTAAGTTTAAATCACCTGGAGAGAGATACATTATGGGTTGGGAGGTAGAGTTTCCTGTGCATTAAAGGGCACCATTATCTTTTTTTTTTCCCCCCTTATGAAGAGATGGGAAAACACACTCTAAAAGAGAGAGAGCGCGAATGAATCTGCTTTAGAGCTCTGTTTCCTGGGTTTTAACATTTTGGTATCAGGCAGCTCAAGAGCTTCTTTTATTGGCAGTGATGTATTTATTTTTGACTTGTAAACAGTGCATGGAAATACTGACTAGTGTTGGCAAGAACTTACGCTGCTTGATCTAGTAAATATGTAACTTGAATATTTTAATCACTCTGCTTGCTCCCAAATTTATAAAGTCTGTTCTTGAAGTTAATCAATAAGCATTAAAGTAGCACTGCAAAATTTTAGTCATCCACTTATTTAGGGTGAGTAACTTCTTTGTGAAATAAGTAAAATACCATTCGTTTCTAAATTGTAATCAGTCACTATCGGAAAAGGTGCGTGAGTAGATTTCTGTGCCTGATCTGGTAAACTTTGATGACAATCTTGCAAGGCTGTAAAATTTAACAAAGGTGTTTTATTTAAACATCCTTCCATAAATCTGGCAGGGGTGTGAACTTTTTGCCATTGTACTAACCTGTTTGTGGTAGGCATTTTTTTCCCTTTGAAACCGGAAAATTACCGTATATCTCCAGTAGCTCAGGTGAACAGGGGGACGCAGTTTTCTGAAAAAGCAAATGTTTGTTTGAATTCAAATAGAGAAGTGGGATATTTCAATCTAGCCCCCAAGAAAATAAATCCATATTTTTGGCATTATTTCTTTATAAAACATGTGTGTTTGATATTGGATCTTTAGATAGCATTTTTTAATTTGTTATAAACAATAAACTCTTAGAATCATAGAATATTAGGGTTGGAAGGGACCTCAGGAGGTCATCTAGTCCAACCCCCTGCTCAAAGCAGGACCAATCCCCAGACAGATTTTTACCCCAGTTCCCTAAATGGCCCCCTCAAGGATTGAACTCACAATCCTGGGTTTAGCAGGCCAATGCTCAAACCACTGAGCTATCCCTCCCCCTGTTGTTTTGTTTATTTTTCTTTCTCACTACAGTGCTACTTTTTTTTGTCAGTGATATGTTAGTTTTAGAAAGGGAGCCTTGTATCAAGTGGTTATGGACCGTATCTTGCTAGACCTTGTTGTGATGTGAAATATATCTAGGCAGTGCAAACAAAATACAGGCTCATTTTATTAATCCAGGCTAAAAAGAAAATTATTTTCAATTCTCCTTTTACTCTTAGTAGTTGTTTCTTAAATTTTGTTGTTGTTTTTAGAGGCAATTGTTGCTTCTTGCTTCTGTATTTAGGATTTAATTGGACACAATCCCAAAAGAGAAACCCAATTTGTCCCTAAACTTGATACCATCAGTTTCATCCTTGGAATAGGTGCACCCTGATTTTCTCTGAGGTGACTTCTTTCCCAAGCATTTAGCAGCAGAAATGTTAGTGTCATTAAGAAGGAATTTTGAAGCTTTGCTTCATCTAGGCAGCTGCCCATTTCCTTGATTTACTTCTCCAGAGTAATCTTTGCGTGGTGGTGTGACCTATCAGGAAAAGTTAGGGATAAAATGTCTAAATCCATCTCTAAGCTCTATAGCAATCCTTTCCTAGCTAGTGCTTCCATGGATGCAGTGAAAATCGTAACCAGAACCCTGGCAATCCATGGGGCAGCCTGTAGGTAACTAGAGACTACTCCCTTGGAAAGGAAATACCTATGTGAAGCGGGTGCTGGACTCACTTAAATTTGCAAGTGATAAACTTTTGAGGAGGCATTAGAAGGGGAAAGAAAGCTGTTCAAGAACACCCTATGAAAAAGAAAAGCTTGGCCTTACAGACCAAGAAAGAACTTCAGGCCAGGCTCACGGTATATCTGTTTTTTCATCCCTTCTCTTGGAAACAGTAAACTTCTGAGAAGGGAGTCATCCTGCACCAAGGATAGGCAGTAGAATAGCCATGCATACTAATCTCAACCTCCCCTCTGTGTGACTCAAGGGACCCTGCCTAGAAGGAAGGGACAAGACCCCCTGCTTCTCTGATAACATCTGCTCAGAATTCTTATTCCAGGATGTAGCCAAGTGACTCACTACCTGATGCGCCACCTGTGATGTTGTGGGGTTTTTTCTCTAGTCTAGCTGCCCAGGTCTGCTGGTGGATCTCTTTTGCCTTGTGACTCCCTCTCCTCCTTACTTTAGCCCTGTTCTTGGCATCCTTTTGGGGGTCAGAGATAAGGTTGCACGGTGTGGGGAAGTGTCACTTCAAGTCATTTCCCAGTTATCCAACAGTGTTATCCATTATCAGATTTGTGTACCCAGTCCTTCTCCTTAATGATGAGACCTTTTTGTCTTATTACTATTTATATAGGTTTTGATATCACACTCATCACTGTAGTATCTGAGCCATAGGTGCCAACTCTGTGGATGCTCCGGGGCTAGAGTGCCCATGGGGAAAAGATGGTGTGTGCAGAGAGCACCCACCGGCATCCCCCCATCAACTCCTCCCCACCGCCTCCAGCGCCTATGACTATGCTAGGCAAAAGGTTGGGGTTAGCTACTCTCAATTTGTGCCTAATCTAGACAAGTGCAGTGACACTCACTCATTTATTCTCTTGCTCATCCATGCACACTTCACACCAATCTCTTCTCCTCTCACAAATACACACTTCACATTTGTTTTTCTCACTAGCTGCTTCACCCCCTCAGCTCTGACATATCTTGAGTCACCCAACCCATTCTCAAATCCACTCACCCCTGGCCTTTTCTCCAAGTAATTAATTCTGTTCCCTGTCAAATTCATCAGTTCTCTTTTCTCACCATCCCAGCTCCTCAGTTCTCTTTCTCCAGTCTATTAATTCTGTCTCTGCCCCCCCCCCCCCCCCCAAACTAATCAGTACTGCTATTTTTAATGGAGGCCATTGCAGCTCTTCCTTCACTCATTCTGATGCTGAACCTGTGGTAGGATAAGGGGATCTTACCTGTACAGTGGCTTTCTCACTGTCCAGGCAGCTTGTATCATCAGTCTGCTTTTGATTCACATTTTTAAAGTCTTCTTTGCAGCTATATTTAGTTTTATCATTAAATGAAAGCTTGATGATGGCTTGAGTTGATGCCATTATATGTACTACATAGGAAAGCTTCCTACTCCCCCCATGTGCATGGGAATTTGCAAGACTGTAAAATATGTAGTATTTTTAATCTGTTTTTGCTACCATATGCTCCTCCCTACGTCCTTCAATACAGCTTCTGATGGAATAAAATAATTCTGTTGTGCAGGTTCAGCAACAGGTTCATCCCAGTTTTTCAGCAAAAGAAGATTCCCTCTATTATATTGAAGAGTTGATACTTCAGCTGCTAAACAAACTCTGCATTGCACAGCCACGGACTGTCCAAGATGTTGAGGTGAGAATGGCAAAGCTGCCTTAACTAATACTGGAAACCAGGTGCTTGCTTACAAAATGACTGTACTCAACTATTGTCAGTAATCGAATGTTAATTCATAACAAGGTAGAATATACATAGGGCATTTTTCTAAAAGATTGGTCCGTGTTCTGCTTTCAGAAATGGAGTTGAATATGAGCTGCAATTAGTTTCTGTTCAGAAGTCTCATAACGATCTTGTAATATTGAAAATATTAAATATTTAAAAATCTATTGTGTTTTTAACAAACACAGAAAAGCATAGCTAGCTGCAAAGGTTTTGTATTGCTTTAGTTAAAATAGACCTTGAACTTTCGAATTAAAGCTTGGAGGGATTTAATCTTTCTTTTTAGTTTAATCCACAAAAGCAAAATGTAAACATTTTAATGTAATGAATTTAAACTGCCAATTTAGGTCCTGATCTTGCAACTGATAGTGAGTGGGCAGGTTGCTGTTAGTGTCTGGAAATATGTTGAACTCCGTGAGGCTCTGTATTCTTGCAGCTGTCTGTCTATGGACTGTCAGTTACAGAATTGGGGCCTTAATGGGCTGCACTTTTTAATAGACACATCCAGAGTTATGTCGTAGTTTTAAATAGCTGCTATCTTTCACATTAGAAAAAATGACTTTCTTAAAGAAAAAAAAAAAAAAAAAAGGCGGGGGGGCGGAGTGTTAAAAACCAGCCTGACTTGCTTTGTAGAATATTAGACAAATTATAGCTATGTGTGTAAGGCACTTTCAGTCCACTACAAGGTGATGGTCTCATCTAATATTCTACAGATTTGTTATGGAAATGAATCATTTGTGAGTACTTATAAAAATGTGTAAAACATGTTTATTTACAAAATTGATTGCCTGGAGGGTTTGAGGTTCTTATTGTGTGTAGTGGTTTTTAAATACATTACTTGACATTGAGTCAATTAATCAATTGACAATATTGGTTTATGATTGTTTTATATTGTTGTTGTACAAAGATTTGTATAAAGCTAAATAAACTTATTTTGTATATGTCTCTTAATAGCCCTTGTTATTTCTAATTACCACCAACGGAGTCTGGATTTAAACTTTATATGTAGAGGTGAAAAGCTCTGTGTTCTACCTCCAGTCCCCAAGCTATCCAGTCCTCTAGAATATAGAGCAATGCTTTGCCAGGTCAGAGACTGTCACCTGCTCGCCAACCCTGTAATTTCTATCTTCTAATACAACAAAAGGAATGCTAAAATAAGTTTGTGTGTGTGTGTATTAATTTCCTATTAGGTGAAATTATACTCCACTTGTATGAGCTAAAAATTTTAGGTATGTATTTTATTAAACAGTTACACCAGTATTGATTTAAGTAAGAAACTTTATGCCTATAAGATTCCCAAGTCCTCACACATTGTTTCTTAGAGAAAAGAGAGATGCTAATCTTTTATAAAACTGCCAATACTTTATCTGAGCAAAGAGATATCTCAGCACATAAGATTTTAGCTGTACACAGGATTTAGTTTTAGTTGTATCTTTTAAAAAATACTGTTTTTTAGGTAGTGAAATAATAATATTGATAAAAGCACTTAGTAATGTAACCTACTTAGACTTGATTATTTCATTAAAAATGAGGAAGTATGTTTAAAGAGTAACTGCAAGTTCCCAAGACCAGTGGTACACCTTGAAGGTCAACAGACTTAAACTCTGCCAGATGAATGTAGGAATGAGTCAAGGTCTATTTGTGGAGATCACTCTGCCACCAGACCCCTGAAGCGTAAATCTGGAGATTGTTTGCTGTACACCTCAGCTGTTCTCAGTTGTCAAGGTAGAACACAAGGAGAGCAGTGATCTAAGAGCCTCTTCATGCAAATATCTACACATGCAAGTAGCTCCCATTGGAGTAAATGGACTATTTGCATGTAAAGTTAAGCATGTGCATAAGTGTAAACAGGAACAAGCGCAAGAAACCCAAACCATAAAGGGCTTAAAGATTAGAAACAACACTTGGAATTGTTTCCAACTATAAACAGGAAGCTAGTGCAGTCTTAAGCCCAAGTGTCACATGCACTCTGTGAGATGAACTGAGAAGTTCGTGAACAGCTATGTTCCACATTACCTCATTTTCTGGGGGACTTTCAGGTGCAGTCCCAAGTGAAGTTGATTGTGGTAATCCACTGTAAAGGTCACAAAGCTGTGGATAACTGCAGCAAGGCTTGCATCCAAGAGGAAAGGTTGCAATCTGTTGACCTGGTATAGGATAACAAAAAGGACTGTTAGCCAGTATTGCCATATGGTCATTTAAAAGAACTTTGAATCTAGGAAGACCTACAGATTATACACCTTCCTATCAAAACGTGGGCAAAAGCCATTTATTGAGGGGACACATCAACTCAGTCATCTCCTGGATGATTCCTGCAGCTAATGAGTAAAATCTCTGTCTTGTCTGAATTGAGCTTCAGCCATCTAGCCCTCATCTAGATGTCAGTCTTGACTAGACACTGGGAAAACTGTACCATTCAGCTCTGGTGACAGTTATAAAGTAGAGTTGTATGGTGGCACCACAGCCCAAACCATGTGTCACATCTGATGTTGAGGGAGATGAGAATAGAACCTAGCAGCACCCCACATGAAGGCCCCTGCAGAAGAAGAGCAATTGCCCATGACTACCTTCTGGGCCCATGGAGAAAGGAACAGAGCTTTTCATCTGGGTTCACCTACTTCTATCACAGACTCTCAGTGACTGTGGGCAAGTTACATCTCCTCTCTGTGGTTTAAGGTAGTGGTGCCCAACTTTATTACACAGGAGGGCCACATAAACCTAAGCCAGAGGTCCCCAAACTGAGGGGAGCAGAGGAACATTTTGGGGGGGCATGGCAGAACCTGGGCCAGCCCCCATAGGGGCAGGGAGGGAGCACTTCTCACCTCTGCTCCGGCCCTGGCGTGCAGCTCCGCACCCAACCCCGGCCCTGCCCCCAGCCTCGGTCCCTGGCTGTGGCTCTGTTCCCAGCCCCACTCCCAGCTCCAGCCCCCTTACCCCACCTGCCCCCTCCCCACCCCCCTGCTCTCGGCCCTGGCTTGGGTGGGGGGGCATGGACAGGGATAAGGGGGTGCATGACCCTGAAAAGTTTGGGGATCGCTGACCTAAGCACAACCTTGTGTAGGCCAAACAGCTTCTACATACTTCCTTGTTTAAACTAAAATGATGTAAACATGGTGACAAAAGGCTAATGAATCAGCCATTAGAATATTGTGTTGAAGCAGGCCGCGGGCCTTATGAAATGCTGTGGTGGGCCGTAGATTGGGCACCTCTTCTTTAGGGTATGTCTACACAACAACTAGACACCTGTGGCTGGCCTGTGCTAGCTGACTTGGGCTCATGGGGCCCATGCTGTGGGGCTGTTTCATTGCCATATAGACTTCTGGGCTTGGACTGGAGGACCCCACAGGGTGGGAAGGTCCCAGAGCCCAGGCTGCAGCCCAGGCCTGAACATCGACGCCACAATGAAACAGCCCTGCAGCCCAAGCCCCGCGAGCCCGAATCGACTGGCATGGGCCAGCCAGGGGTTTTACTTTGCTTTGTAGACAGACCCTTAATTCCCCATCTGTAAAATGGGAACAATATCTTTTTGTCTTTTCCATTTAGACCGAGAGCTCTTTAGTATCCTCTCTTACTGTGTTTGTACAGTGCTCAGTATGATTTGGGCCCGTCAGTTTGAACTTCTAAGTGCTATCATAATGCAAATAACAAAGGGCAGGAAGGACTGTTTTGAGGTGAGATTTGAAAGGATGCTTGTTCTGTGGGGAGTAGAAGACTGTTTCAGCCTTAGAGGTGGGGCTGCATGAAAGGAGAAAAACCAAAGATTAAGAGACAGAGAGAGAAATGGAGCAGTTAGAAGCAAGGAAGTGATGGGGTACAAACATGAATAGGGAAATTAGGTGACTGATTGTTTTGTAAGCTTCTGTATGCTGACTGGTACTGCATTTCTTATGTTTGGGCAGGAGCGAGTTCAAAAGACATTTCCTCATCCAATTGACAAGTGGGCTATTGCTGATGCACAGTCTGCTATAGAGAAACGAAAACGAAGAAACCCTCTCCTACTACCTGTGGACAAGATACATCCCCTATTAAAGGTATTTTAGATAAGTCTAAGAGTTAATTTTTACTTTATGCTATGTTTTGCTTGTTTAGCATAGTACCTTTAAATATTTCTTTTTAATTTGTGTGTAAACTATCATAGAAAAGACAAATCCAGATCAGTTTCTGATGTTGATTGGAAGAGTAAAACTAGCCATTTTAGTATACTGTATTTACGTAAATGTAGCACTAAACCAAACTTTTGAATCTCTCTTGTTGTAGACTTCATTTATTAAAGTGCAGTTCTACTCTGAAAAGTTAAGTACATAAAAAAATGGTGTCACCTTACCTCACATATCTGCTCCCTTTATGTATTCAGAGTTCTACCGGTCACCTTTAGTATCTGAATTTACTGCTTTTATTGGCACTGTCGAGCCAAAATAGCTAAGAGAGATACAACTGGATACTATTCCTGGTACATTAACAACAGAAATGTTCACTGAATTCCAATCAATTACATTTGTGCAGACCTGTTGGAGTCAAAAGGTGTCACTGAGGCATAATTGGACACCAGTAGGTTTTCCAAGGCAAAACAGAAGTCCTAATTTGAACTACAAAACATTTATTGGGGGGGAGAGGGGGTTTTGAGAAGGAAAGTAGCCAAATTGACACTCAGATCCCAGGTTGAGTGTATAGAGCTGGCAGGTGAATTTTACTTTCAAGCTAAGCAAATTTGATATGGAAATCATTGAGTCACAAACATTTATCCCCCCAATGCTATTTGTAGTGTCATTTTTCTTAGCAGAACAGCATTTCCAACTTTCAGATCAGTGCAGCTGTAGCAGTAGCTGAATTAAGTTCACTTCATTGCATGTGTAAATGGAAGAGGGTTAGATATCCCTTCCTCAGCCTTCCTCCCCATAGCCTTAGGAAAAGGAAAGTAAGTAGATATTCCTTTACTCATTCATACTTGTTCCATGTCACCAAGGGTCAATAAGTGACAAGGAAGTTCTAAATAAAGAGACCACAGAAACAGCGAGGAAATAAAAGGCGGCTGCTTTTCGAACATTGTAGTTTATTGATGGCTTACATTGAATAATTTACAAGTATACTTTAGAAGGGAGCTATTAAAGATTAGCAAGTTTTGGGAAGCATTTCTGATCTGTACATATAATACGATATTATTTATACAGTGAAATGTAGCTGTAGTTAAGATATTTAGTAATTAGCCTTCTGAATAAGGGCCATATTTTTCTAAGTAAAGAAATAACTGGTACTGCAACATTGACATGCTTAGTCTTCAGTTTAGTAAGTTCGCTTCTTAAGGTCAGGGCAAACAATTTATTTTTTATTTTTTGTAATTTGTGTCAAAGTGCTCATTTGCTTTGAAGGGAACTAGGTTTGTTACACTTTCAGGGACACCTTACTGCTCAATTTCTAGAGTAGGTGTGGCTCTTAAAGTTACATCTCCTTTTCCCTTATTTAGAAATTTGTTAGAAATCTTTGCTTGGAAATATTATTTAAATACAAAATTATGTACCAGCATGTGAAGATGCGCTCTTTAAAAAACATGTGGTGACCTTCTTTTATATCACTGCAAATTACTTTAAAGGGTTTAAAAAAAAATTAAAACTGTTGTGCTATAATATGTACAGTTCTAAGAAAGAATTAACTGTCTAAAGTTCTTATGGTTTGTCTAACACAGCATTTCTCAAATACCGCCACTGTGGCCACATATGGCCACCAGGGGCTTTTCTTGCGGCCACAGCCCCCGGGCAGTGATTGGGGTGGAGGTAAAGCAGTGGTCCCTCCCCCAGGGCCACCAGCAGGGGTTGGACCCTCCCCTCCCCCCGAGACACACATGCTGGAGAAACAGCAGCTAGTGAGTTCCTCACCTTCCTGGGGACAGTAGGGTCGGGCTCCAGCCCTGGCATGGCAGGCAGCAGGCTCTGGCCATGGAGCTCCAACCCCCGGATGTGGGGATCCCCTCCCTCCATCACCCCGGCCTCCGCCAGCCCATCATGCAGTTCCCCCCTATCGACCTCCCCATCCAAGGCTTAATTCGTCCCCGGGCTTGCCAGGACTGAGTAAGTCTACTGCTTTGAAAAGTGATATTTGTATGTTTGCTAATACAGCTCTACCCCAATATAATGCAACCCGATATAACATGAATTTGGATATAATGCGGTAAAGCAGTGCTCCGGAGGGGGTGGGGTGGGGGCTGCGCACTCCGGCGGACCATAGCAAGTTCCATATGACGCGGTTTCACCTATAACGCGGTAAGATTTTTTTGGCTCCCGAGGACAGCGTTATATTGGGGTAGAGGTGTATCACTTTTCACAGCACAGACTTACTAGCTAGCAAATCTTTTTTAAAAAGCAAACGAAACAACAACAAAAAAGACAAGAACTTTCAAAGCACCTTAATTGTGTTTCTATTCTGGTCCAGTAAAGAGTAGAGAGAACTGTACATTATTTTTATTATTGAGTCTTCAGAAAGATTCAATAAATTACAATGATTTAGACATGTATATGTGCATATTTATTTATTTTTCCTAAAGTTAATTAAGAATTTTAGGAAAAATTGTCAGCGTGGCTACCAACAAGAATTGGTAGGCACAGTTTGAGGCCACCAAAAAAATTGTTGTGAGAACCCCTGGTCTAACATATCCTCACATCAAACTTAATAGCAGGAAAAATTCTTGTTTGGCTTTCGCTTCTTAACTAGTAGTGCCACTGGTTAAATTTGAAGAAACCATGAAAGCCTGGAAGTTCAATTTCTTGGACATACTGTTGATTTTTCAAGTGAGATTTTTTTAAAGCACAGGTTTGTCCTGAATTAGTTTTACAATATCCACTGATTTTTCATCTTTAAGTCAAGGTTTATCCTTGTTGTCAGTAGCTACCGGTGTGGTGCTCTGCTCTTTTCGATGATGATAACAGTTGGCTGCGTGCATGTTCCCTCTGTGCTGCCCCAGTTCTGCGCAGATAGCTGACACAGCAGACCCCGAGAGAACCCCCAAAGACCACAGACTTTAGTAAGGTACGAAGGAACCTGAGTCAGGTTTATTGTCAAACGAAGCACAGTAATAGTTTCCCGTAGACTCTACAAGACATACTACGAATTTGTGCCCCCTGGCAATGGACCGGCTCAGTCAGTGGTGGGACTTTCCGCTGCCCCCTAGGCCAGACAAAGATGTGCACTCCGGGACCTAGTTTTATACAGTTACAGGACAGATTACTCATCCCTACTGACGTGTTGAAGTACAGCCCCTTGACTCATTGAGGGCTGTCTCCCTCTTTGACCATGTCGGTTCAAACAAATCTATCCATCATGTTGTCCTTTTGACCCTGTCTTTAATATGCACCTGCCTGTTCCTTGTTATCGCTGTGGAGTGTTCTGATGCTATCTTGGCACAAGTTCCTCTTATTAGCACTTACGTGTGGATGCACCTGCTTCTAGCAGCCCTCTTCTTGCCAACTTCTGTGAGTGGGGCCTGCCTCTGGCTCACAGCCCAGCTTTTGCTTAGCAATGCCTGGAAGTACTTTGGTTTAGGCATCAGACTGGGCCTCTGACAGAAGAGTTTGTCTCAAGGCCTTATCGTATTACAATCCTGAATTAGTTTTACAATATCCACTGATTTTTCATCTTTAAGTCAATCTTTAAAAATGCAAAAGTTTCTCCCTATTAAGGTATTATGTGGGTCTGTTTCTCTCCATGCTTCATATTTCCTTGGGATTGGGGGGGTTGCCCGTGGCGGCTTGGAGCTCCAGGGGCCACCAGAGGCGCCACGGGTACCCTGTAGCTCCCTGCCCCTGCGAGCAGTGGGGGACCCTACAGCTTCCGCCCACCACAGGCTGAAGTCACGGAGGTCGCTGGAAGTCATGGATTCTGTGACTTCAGCGACCACCGTGACTAAATCATAGCCTTAGTCGTTACACCTGTAAAATCAGCTAGTGGGCAAATGTATAGGACCGTAGTAGCTGGTTTTAAATGATGCATCTCAAAATATATGATGGCATGATACAAGATTAATGATATTACTAAAATGCACAAGCCTATCTGTATTTAGTCATGATGGTCCTATCACAAATATGTATCAGGCAAAAGGTGTGGGGTGAAGTAAACCCTCAGCAGAATATGAAAAATATCATCCCGTTTGAAATGTTTTCAAAAGTGGAACAATGTCTTCCCTGTTTTTCTCTTCTACTCCACTTTCTTTTCTCCCAAAGCTTAATTAACCCCTTTATATTAATTTGAGTGTAAGTATGTGATTTCTTCAGTTGCACACATGTTTTGTCTGAACATGTCACTTAATTCCTATTTAAGGTTATATAAAACGACCACACTGGGTCAGACCAATGGTCCGTCTAGCCCAGTAGCCTGTCTTTCGACAGTGGCCAAATGTTCCAGGATAATGGATGTGCTAACGCGAGGGGGCAAGAGCCTGCAAGAGATTAAGAGCATACCATTTTTAATTCTGTGAAAGGTGCGCACACATTTTGCATTAAAAATGTAAAAGGAAGAATCCTTTTTTTCCCTCCATTTTCCATATGTAGGCTCTCATCCCTCAAGGATGTAGGCGTACTTAATTTTAAGCACATGAGTGGTCCCACTCAAGTCATTTAATTTTAACGGGATTTGAAAAGCCACGTTTCTGTAGCAGGCAAAGTGTGACAGTGGCGTGTTTCTAAGATCTTCCTTGGTGAATATTGTTGGCCACAGACTCCCGTTTTCTGTTCTGTGTTCTGGCTATTGCAGCTGCGTGTTAGCTGGTAACTCAAAGCAAAGATCCTTTTGGTAAAAATGCTAATATCTTAGTTTTCAATTATATAGTGCTCAATGTCAGAATAACTTTCAGGCATGAGTATGATTTTACTGTGTTTTGTTTTTAATTTGCAGGAGGTTCTAGGCTATAAAGTAGATTATCATGTCTCTCTTTATATTGTGGCTGTTTTGGAATATATCTCAGCTGACATTTTGAAACTGGCTGGAAATTATGTTTTCAATATACGACACTTTGAAATCTCCCAGCAAGACATTAAAGTGTCTATGTGTGCTGATAAGGTAAGAAATAATTGATTTGCTGTACTGATGTTTAAATGGCTTAACACTTCATTTAAAAACATTGTCCTTTAGTTCCCAACTGCATCATCCTGTTATGATTATGATTATTATTATAACTCCTCTTTGTAATGGTAGATTCTCCACTCTATGGCCAGGTCTACACTACCGCGGTAGTTCGACGGCTGGCAGTCGAACTTCCGGGTTCGATTTATCGCGTCTGGTCTGTGCTCGTCGTCGACTGCGGTACTCCACCTCAGCGAGAGGAGTACCGCGGAGTCGACGGGGGAGCCTGCCTGCCGTGTGTGGACCGCGTCTGAACCGCGGTAAGTTCGAACTAAGGTATGTCGACTTCAGCTACGTTATTCACGTAGCTGAAGTTGCGTACCTTAGATCGAATTGGGGTGTTAGTGTAGACCAGGCCTATGTGGTTTAGGAAAAAATAGTCTTTCTAGTTTCATCTTTATTAAATTGTTCAGAAACCTTTTTTGTTGAATTTCAGTTATCTTCATCATCAGGCAAAAGCTTTTGCAAGATGCCTTCTGTTCTTCCATCTTTCTCAAATCCTCACTTGTTTTCCTGCTGCACTAAATTATAAAAAAACCACAGCATTGGCAATTGATCCTGCCAAAGTTTCAACATTGCTACCTCGTGATTTTTATTACAGAAAGTGTTGTGTTATATACAGTTCACTAGTTTTGGAACAAATTGAGACCATTGAGTTTGAATGAAGGATAGAAATCAGACTTGTATAAAAACTTGACTTTCACTCTTTGCTAGGTTTTGATGGATATGTTTGATCAGGATGTTATTGGTTTGGTTTCGCTGTGTGAAGATGAGCCCTCTTCTTCAGGTGAACTCAATTACTATGAGCTAGTGAGAACTGAAATTGCAGAAGAAAGACAATATCTACGGGAGTTGAATCTGATAATAAAAGTGTTTCGGGAAGCTTTCCTGTCTAACAGAAAGTTGTTCACACCTTACGTAAGTCCCTTTTTAATAGATTACTGTTTTAATGCTTAAATACTTGCATATCCATTTTCAACCGCAACTTCGCAAATTTACATTGGCTGTAGCAGAGTAGGTGAAATTTGGCTTGAAGTATCCTAGTGTATAATGGAAGTGGTGACTGGTGCCTGAAATAAGAGGGAGGGACTGCAGGTAGCAGTCTTAGATGAATATTCTCAGACCAAGGTTTAAAAAGCAAGGTTCCCTGTTAGATGCAAACAATAGTTATAGTGCCAGATGGTCATGTGGGTAGAAAATCTGATCCTTATGCAATTATGCACCTGCACTTTACCAGGCAAGCAGCATAGCAGCAGGTGGAGGAGCTGGGGTTCCTAGGAAAGAGAGTACTAGGAAGAGGGGCTGCAGATGTCTCTCAAAAAGAGGAAGATGTGAAACCTTGGTAATTTACCTTAATTGACAGGGAAAGGGGGGAATTGATAAGGGGGTGTAGAGAGATTTGGGGGCTAAGGTGCGGGCAGGGAGAGATGGGATGAGTTCCTGAGCGTTGGCTGGAGGTAACTGGAGAAGCAACTGATGTCATTCAGAGGTTGGAGTCAAGAGAAGGGTGCTTTCCAGATGGTGGGTTGGGGAAGTCTGCCCAGATGGGTGCGTGTCTGAGATACGGGACAGTAAAAGCAGGACTTGAAAAAGGAAGCTGCCACTTCCCTCTCCAAGCCCAGCTGGTATTCTGAAACAGTGACTGCATAGCTTTGATCATAAAGTTTTGTCATTGAGACCTGAGCTGGGGGCTGTTTTTAAATTTTCACTTCAGTTTACCTTCAGAGCCAGAAAAGAGCAAGGAGGGTGATGGAGGGGAAATAATGACAGCTTTAAACTGCCCCTCCCCTCCTGATTGTGGCCTGCTAGTGTACAGGCTAAAAAAGTTGGACCCCATTGTCCTACCCAATGAATAACCCGTAGCCTCTCTCACAAGAAACACTGCTCTCGAACGCTGGATTGGATACTGCACCATGCTCTTGGACATTTAAAAGTAAAAATCGTGCAATGTTGGATCAAAGTGAATATGCCCAAGCATGATCGCTCAGCCTGAATTGATGCCTAGAACTTGACTTCCTTTCCCCTCTCTTTCTATTGTCTTCTACCTATTTAGGGTATGTCTACACTGCACGTTCCTTGTGGTGGCATGTAGAGCAGAGGCACTGCATAGACATGTAGACAGTGAGGCACTGCGTAGGCGAGTAATGACCAACCTGAATCCTGTGGGGATACCCTACATGGCGCTCTCTACGCCAAGCGGCGCCGCCTCCGTCTGCACTGCTACTTTTAGCAATGCAGTGTCATGCTGCCGCCACGCTGCTGGAGCTTTTCCCTGCTGCAGGGAAAGGCTCTGGCATGATGGAGGTAGCACAAAAAAGCTCCAGCAGTGGGGAGAAGCTCCAGCAGCGTGGATGCAGCCTGTTTTCACTGCAACGTGTAAGCAACGTGTGCCCCACACACTGCTGCCAGTGTAGACAAGGCTTAGATAGCTCACACTTTATTTGAAACACTTGGATGTCTGCAAAAGAGTAAAGGAAATGGTAACAAATATTACTAAAGCATAACTTTTGTTTTCTCAGGATATCGATACGATCTTTAGCAACATTTCAGATATTCATGAATTGACTGTGAAGCTTTTGGGGTTGATTGAGGATACTGTTGAAATGACAGACGAAAGTAGTCCTCATCCTTTGGCTGGCAGCTGCTTTGAAGATCTGGCAGAGGTGAGTTTCTAAAATCACTTCATAGGAATATTTTGTATCTTCATATTAAGCTAGTGTCCATGAGGTTCTGAACAGAGAATGATGATAGGGCAGTCATACAGAGCAATCTAGATTGCTTGGTAAGATGGGCCCACTCAAACCTGCCTTTTAATACAGACAGATACAAGGTCATGCATCCAGAAACAAAGAATGCAGGCCATGCGTGCATAATGGTAGGCTGTGTCTTGGAAAGCAGTGACTCTGAAAATGATTTAAGGGTCATAGTGGACAAGCAGCTCACCATGAGCTCCAAGTGTGATGATGTGACAAAAAGGGCTAATGCAATCCTTGGATGTATAAACAAGAGAGTAGGAGTAAGGAGGTGATTTTATCTCTGTATACGGCATTGGGAAGACAGATGCTAGAATACTGCATCCAGTTCTGGTGTCAAAATTTTAAACAGGAGATTGGAAATTTGGAGAGAGTGCAGAACGGAGCCACAAAAATTATTTGAAAGTTCCTTACAGTGAGAGACTTAGGGCTTGTCTACACGGGGACATTCAGGAAAATTAATCTGAATTACAGTGTGATTTTTAAAGTGGATTAGCAAAACTGCATTAAACCTGTGTGGACACTCTTGGGGCTTGTCTTCACTACCAGGCAGATCGATACTGCTGCAATCGATGCAGCGGGTGTCAATTTAGCAGGTCTAGTGAAAACCCACTAAATTGACAAGAGAGTGCTTTCCGTCGACTCTGGTACTCCAGCTCCCTGAGAAGAAGAGTAAGGTAAATTAACCGGATTGTGTCTCCCATCGATGCAGCGCAGTGAAGACACCAGGATAAGTTGACCTAAGCTACGTTGACTCCAGCTATGTTATTCACGTTGCTGGAGTAGCATAACTTAGGTCGATTTACTCCGGTAGTGAAGAAAAGCCCTTATTCAGAATTCAAGTGACAATAATTTGGTTTAGCTTAATTCACTTTCAAAATTAAACTAAGGGCTGGTCTACACTAGAAATTTCGTCCTTGAGTGATGGTCCCTATTGTATTTCATGGAGGGTGATGCGCATGCGCTCGGAGCTGGAACTTTTCAAAGTAGTAGTGTACTCCGGTCCGTGCATGCGCCCTTGCATTGTCTCGTGGTTTCACCTGAGGCGATAAAGGGCAGGGCAGACTGACTGCATCTTTAGTTCCTTCTCACCGCCTCATGGTCCGGGTCACAGTTTCTGCTGTCTTCTCATCTTTGGTGACATATTTTCCAAACTTTTCTCCATAAAAACCTGTTTTTTATTCTTTATTTAGTTGGGATTTTGTTGTTTTTTTTGTAGTAGTTTTCTTATTTCTGAAAGTTTCATAGGATTAAAGACTGGGGAAGCCACTCTGTTTGGCAGGAAACCACCAGTCTGCTTCTGTCGTCGTCTCCCCCCCCCCCCCCCCCCCCCCCCCCCCCCCGCACCCATATCTGGGTACTGGGGTTAGTTAGGATTTTGCTTGGTTTTCAGTAGTAATTTTCTTGTTTCTGAAAGTTCTGTAAGTCACAGGACTCAGGACACCGCCTCGGCGGTTCCCAACCAAACAATACCGCCTCCTCCCTCAGATTTCCTCCAGCACCCGTGTCTGGGTACTGGAGTATGATGAAGAGCCTGGGATTCAAAGTCTGGGCTTCCTGCCTTCATTTGTTCTCCCTCACCTAGGAGCACCAGCGTTGTCTTTACTGCTTGGGTGAAGCTCAGACTGCATCCAGGTGCAGCATCTCTCTCTCCTTCCTGTAGTAGGAAGAGATACTAAAACATAAGCCCTTTTATTAAAGGCCTGGTATAAGGCAGGACCTACTCATAAAATTTGGCAAGATCAGGGCTAATATTGCAAAAATACACATTCCTAAGAAGTGCTAGTCACAAAGTGCTCATGCAAACACATCCTGATATCAAATGGTGCCAAGACATCCCAATAACAAGGATGGTACAAAAACATTCCCCAAGAATAACAGGAACACACTGACCCCTCCTAAAAGAAGGTCAGGATAACAGTACGTAATAAAAATGTTTTAATCAAACCAACATATACAAAATGGGTAATAACTAGCGACGTCGGGGGCAGTAACTATGTCAAAGGGGCAGTACTAACTTGTTTGTATTGGGATATAAAGATGTATCTCAAAGGGAGTATCTTTGGCCAGCCTAGGGAGCAGTGAAAAGTCCCGCCACTGACTAAGCTGCATCCATTGTCACGGGCATACATGTCTTAGTATCCTCGTAGAGTCTGACAGGTGCTATTACCGTGCTTTGTCGACAATAAACCTGGCCCGGCGCCTTCGCTAAAAACCAAGTCTGTGAATTTATTGGGCAATTTAATTGAGGTTTGCTATTTGCGCAGAGCTGGGACAGCACACTACGCAGCTAGCATCTGACCACATTTCCCTGCCCGTACATAGGAAGTCAGAGCCCTTTGACTTGAGTGCCTTATGGAAGTCACCACGGGGCCACAATTGGATCCTGGCTGGGGAACCCCCCTGTAGCCTGAATAACCCAAGAGTGCACCTCCTGCTGCAAAGGCCCAGCCCAGCTTCGTTGGTACCAGTGCTACAGACCCCACGTCGGGGCCTAGCCATGAGTCACAGAAGCATGCACTTAGCATGGCAGTAAGTCTTCCTCCAGGTCTAAGAGGGATGCCGTGCTGTCCACTAGTTCCAGCCAAGCAGGGGCACCATGCTCTTAAGACCCACAACAGTGACAAAAAGCCACATTGCTCACCAGACCTGCTGATCCTCGTTATGGACCTGCACGGCCCGGCATCGGCCCACTGGCATCTAGGGAATCGCTGGTCCTGAAACTAGTAACCTTACCGCCCTGTCCCATCCATAGATTGGGTGCCATTGATTCCGGGGAGACTCTCAGCTGCTCCTGGGCCTCATGAAACTCTTTGCCCTGGAAAAAATGCAGTCTCCACGTGTCCTGGTACCCTCACCTACCAAGAGGGCACTATCCCCCATATCGGATCTGCCACCTTCTGGCCATGTTCATACAACATTGCTGGCTTCATCAGTGCTGCCGCAGGACTTCGGTTCCTCCTCAGAATCTGAGAGCCCAGACATCATGTATTGCCCAACACTTCTGTTCTGAGGACATGACTATCAGGATATGGAGGGATTTAAGTCATCCTCCCCAGATGAGACTGTGTTGTCGATCCCTTCCCCCAACTACCACCGTCAATTTCAAGAGCTGCTATGTAGGATAGCTCATGGCCTTGAGATACTATTGGAAGAGGTGCAGGACAAGCAGTGCCACCTACTAGACATTTTGCACGCATCAGTACTGGGCAGGGTCAACAAAGACATTCTCCAACCGGCATGCACTGTGTGGCATACCCCAGCCACGTGTGCCCCCACTCCGAAAGAGGCAGAAAAGAGGTACTATGTTCCCCACACACACACACACACAAAAAAGGGGGTCAGAGTTCCTATTGAGTGGACTAAACAATAGCACCCATGCTCCACCCCAATTGACAAGGAGGGCAAGAGATTGGATCTTATGGGCTGAAAGGTGGTGTTCTCAGCTGGCCTCTAGTTCCAGATCTCAAACTACCTGGCACTGATGGCCAAGTACGACTTCCTACACTATGGACAGATGGTGAAATTCATGGATAAGCTGCCTTCATAGGATTGTTCTGAATTCCAAGCAAATCTAGAGGAAGGAAAGTTGGTTGCTAAGTCCATACTTCAGGCTGCGGTTAATTCAGCAGACACATCCTCGCACATTTTGGCAACTGGAATCGTCATGAGGAGGGAATCCTGGTTACACTCCTCAGGTTTCCCTAGAGAAATACAGAACACAATTGAAGATCTGCCCTTTGATGAATCACAACTCTTCAATCAAAAGATGGATGATTCCTTGTAGTCGCTAAAAGCTTCTAAAGCCAACTTGAAATCCTTAGGTATATACACGTCATTTCCAGAGTGAAAGTTTTATTGCCTGCTGCCTGCACAACGTTACAGAACTTCCCAGTTCTACCACCAACAGGCCACAAACCTCCCCAGAAAGGTCCTAGGGCCCACAGTCCATCCACCTGTTCCGACAGTGCAATCCTCCACACATCACACTCATTTTGTGCTTAAGTGATATTTCTGAGCTCAACTAGAGAGCCATCAACCACCCTTTTCGGGGGCCGTCTCAAACTCTTTCTGCCGGTGTGGAGCATGATTACAACGGGCAAGTGGGTCCTGGACGTCATTCAATGTGGCTATGCCATGAAGTTTATGGCACTATCTCCTCCATATCCCCCACCCTGATTCCGTTCCATGGATCACTCTAACTACAGTATTCTTACCCTAGAGCGGATTCCATCCTCTCCAGTTTTGGTTCCCTCTTCTTCTCCGCATATCGAAGCATCCTCCACTCTTACTACCAATGTTTCCGAGTCTACTCACACAACGCAATGGCAGGCTCAGACACCCCAACCCAAGGGTGCTCCACCTGACAGCTTGGTTTTTGGATGGACACCTCCGCTAGCGCAGGAATGCTTGCCGGTGGTCCAATACATCCTCTCCGATAGCAGAAAGTATTCGACAAGGCAATCATACCAGGCCAAGTGGCTCATTTCACTGCCTGGGCCCAACACAGAGGGCTTGCCTCCGAGGCTGTGGGCATTCCCATGCTATTAGACTACCTTCTCTCTCTGAAGGCCTTGGGACTTGCTCTCAGCTCCATCAAAGTGCACATAGCGGCCATTAGTCCTTCCACCCTCCTGTGGAGGGGCATTCCCTCTTCACCCACCCCTTGACTGCCAGATTCTGGAAAGGCCTTGTATGCAAATACCCTCCCATCCAGACTGTTGCTCTTCAGTGGGACCTCAACCTGGTCCTCACAGTACTAAGGGCCCCCTTGCACCCCCATCCTTTCAGTCTCTGGCCTCCTCTCTTTTCTCTCTAAGAAAGTAGCTTTCCTGGTTGCTATTACTTCTGCAAGGAGGGTTGGTGAACTGGGGGCAATGATGGCAAACCCCCCCTTTCACCGCATTTCATAAGCACAAGGTTTCCCTGTGCCTGCATCCCAATTAATCCATACACCTTCCCGTCGTCTTTCCCAAACCGCACACCTCAAATGAGGAACGGTGGCTTCACTTCCTCGATGTACATAGAGCCCTGGCCTTTAATCTACAAAGCCTTTCCGGAAGTCTTCAAGATGTGTGGTCCCTATCTGTATTCCAAACCCATCCTCCTTCCCCTCTGCTGTGGATTTGATAGGTCTGCGGTGGAGAAGGAACTAAAGAGACAGTCAGTCCCGCCCTGCCCTTTATCGCTTGGGCGAAACTACAAGGCAATGCAAGGGCGCATGTGTGGACCGGCCGATACAACTACTTTGGAAAGTATCCTCAGACCCAGAGGAAGTGACAGCTACCAAAGTGGAACTGAAAGAATCAGCATTCGCTACCACACTCCAAGAGCAGTTAGTGAAAGAGGCAACTAAGGGGACGCTGTCAAAACTGGCGCCATTAGTTTTGATGCCCTCAACACCAGTGACCTCAGTGCTGACACCTTCAACATCAGAGCCTGTGCCCCAGGAGCAGAAGGACAACACTGAAACAATCCTGCATAGACCATGAGCTCCAAGCAACACATGGGATCATCCCACAAGGAGACTGTGAAACTTAATTCCAAGAAAAGAGTCCCTAAGTCTGCCAAGGTGGGAATGGCACACAGTGAAGAACCTTGGCACCAACCCAGAACCCATATTGATACCCTCAACCAAACTGAGATGCCCTGCTGGGTGGCCAACCCTCACACCTTATTCATGAAATATAATTTCCTTACCTGAAAGAGGGTCTCTCCCTTCTTGTCAAAGATCCACCCAGCTCACAGGAAGTACTTGAGATTCACAGTGAGGCCAAATCACTGCCAGCAAAAGATACTATTATTCAAACACTCCACAGCACTGAGAGTCTTTACAACCTGGCTAACAGAGGTTGCAGCATACCCGAGGAGGCAGGGCATCCATGTGTATGCTTACCTGCATAACTGTCTGGTCAAAGGCAGATCCCAGCAAGAGACTGCAACAAACCTAGAATATTCTCCCTTCCTGTTTGCCCGGAGGTCGTCCTAATGAATTGTGATGCAGAGGATAGAGTTCATTGGAGTTATGATAGACTCCAGGTCAGAGTGGGCAAACCTATTAGAGTTCAGGTTCCTGTCGTTGCAATCACTATTACTTGAGATAAGATCAGACTACAGTGGTTACAGACTTGCCTTGGGTTGTTAAACCATATGCCAGCGTGGCATGTATGTGATGCTGCTTGCCAGACTTCACCCGAGGCTGCTACTTCTTAGGGTCAAATTCATCTATTCCCCTCCAAGACATCGGATGGACAGTAAGGTCTTGGGGCCACCTCATATCGTTGCAGAGTTGACATGGTGCTGGACCTCAAAAAATTAAGCAGAGGGGGTACTGTTTTTGTTCCTCCTACTCAACAAAGACTTCAGTCACAGATGCATCAGGCAAAAGTTGTGGAGCCTACCTGGACCACCTGCGAATGCCAGGGATCTGGTTCCTGGAGAACATATGAGTTCCCATAAACATCATGGAACTCAGGGCCATCAGGCTGGCCTGTGTGGTGTTCCTGCCTGTCCTCTGAAATTCCACAGTGTAGAACCTGATGGATGCCACATCTGTGATGCACTGCATAAACAAGGAGATGCATGCTTCTCGCCCCTCTGCCTGGAGGCCATCAAATTCTAGATATGGTGCTAGCAACAGGGGTAACCCCAATGGCTCTTCACTTTCCAGGAGTCAGCATTGTCGTAGAGACTTCGTGAGAAGATAACCATGCCAGTCATGAATGGTCACTGCAGAGAGATGTTGTAGTGCCAGTATTCTATCATTGGGGGGTTCCTGTATTAAACCTGTTCACCACCAAGGACAGTTACACACTGTCACCTCTGTTCCAGGCTCATTGACCAGCATCTTCCTTCCGCAATGGAACCCAAGGCCTCCTTTGTCTTTCCACCTATTCTCCCATCTTCCATGGTGATTTCCAAATTCAAGAGTCACAGCCGCGATGATTCTCATAGCACCACATTGGTCGGAGCAGTTTTGGTTGACAGACCTGCTATAGATGTCCATTCAGCCTCTGAACCGGCTCCCATAGTGCCTGGACCTGATTTTACAGCACCATGGCCAGATAGTTCATCCTATCCTAAAGTCTCTGCACCTGACAGCCTGGATATTGGCTGGCTAAGTACTACGGTCAGGGAGTGCCCATGGCAACTCCAGGAGATGCGATTATGAAGTAGAAAGACAACAACCAGGAGAGATAGGAGAGGTATATCTCAGGATGGCTGGACAATAACCAGGATGACTTAATTGTCAACTTGGAAAAGGTTCTTGATCTTGGTGGCCTAACAAGGCTTGGCTCCTATGCAAGTACCACAGATCCTTGACTACTTGCTGCATCTGAAACACTGATCTTTTGTTCAGTTCCACTAAGGTCCATCCCATTCTGATCTCAGTTTGCCATCTGCCTGTACATTTGTGCTCCATCTTCTCTCACCCAGTAGTATTGAAGCTCCTCAAGGATGTGATGTATATTTACCCACTGGTCAAAGAGATGGCTCCTGCCTCAGAACTGTGTCATCCTGTCGAGACTTGGACTCAAAAGAAGGCTCTTTCTGAAGACAGTCTTCCTAGCTGCAAGCACTTTGGCCAGGAGAGTGAGTGAGCTCCAAGCACTTAGGGCTGATCTTCCGTACATGAAATTTCATAGGAAATCAGGTCTTGCAACGTGTGAGGCACATGAGCACCTACTGTGGGATCCACACTGACATTAGCTCAGAGAACCAAAGTTACTGTGGGGGTAATCATTGTTTTCATATGTGTTAGAGAAGCCTTTTCAAAACATGACGACTTGTTGGTGATGGGATCGCTATTGGACTGTAAGTAAGAATTTGCCTCTTGGCTACCACCATTTCATTAAAATTTGTGTTCATGACAAATACAGTGATGCTGAGCAATGCTCACAATAGGTTTGTGCATGTATTAAAATATACATTAATGAATTATGGGATATACGGAGTTATATTATTTTTGAGTGAGCTGAAACTTTCTTGAAAAATCACATTAAACATCAGATCTCAATAAACAAATTGTACAGCTGAGCACAAAAGATGTCCTGCATCCTTTTACTGTATATACATAATTATTTCCTCCTTTCTTTAGGAACAAGCCTTTGATCCATATGAAACTTTGTCCCAGGATATTCTTTCCCCACGGTTTCATGAGCATTTTAATAACTTGATGGCTAAACCAGCTGTTGCGCTACATTTTCAGGTAAGTATGAAATCTCACTCAAGAAATACCACATTTCTTTTTTGAGATTCATCCTATATTTCCTGTTCCCAATCACTCTTTGGGGTTGGGGGAAATTCTAGTGAGATCCTGGATCATGATTTCTCCTCAGATTAAGGTATTTGGGCTGCGCCTCTCTTTTTGCAAATACTGGAGGCAGCTCAGACACGTCCGTGGGTCTTGGTCACTTCCCTTCAGCCCTTGTACTAGATTCTTTGCCTCCAGCAAAGCGGTGACATGGCATTCCTGCCTTTTCCATTGCCATCCCCGTTTTTAATACCAAATCAATGAACAATGTTCTCTCTCTCTCTCTCTCCTTCCCCACCTACACCTTGTCCTTCATCCAGTGGTTGACTTTTTTCAGGGATCCATTCCTTAACAGGACCACCCACTGAGCTCCTTCCCTTGTTTATTTTCCCCTTCCCCCCCAGCATGGCAGATCCTGCTAAACAGTGCCTACAAATGGGTAAGAGTTCTTCATCTGGAAGGAGACTCAAAGGAGCCACAGAAGGAGAGCTCTGCCACAGTTGCTCCTATCCCACAGACCCTGCTTGGGCAAGGACTCAGTTTGGACAGCTTGTTAGGGTCTTTATGTCCCATCGTGCCAGCTGAGACTCCTCCCGAGACATCTCTTCAAGGGTGAGTCAGTCCTCTTCACCTTTTGGGACTCAATAAACAAGACCATCATTCTGCACCTGATGATTCCTTGGTCAGTGCAGTAAACCCCTTCCCCCCCCCCTCCTCCCCCCCAAAAAAACAACAACCCCCAAACAAACAAAAACAACAACCCATGGCCGGTCCACCTCTGTAGGGAAAAGCTGTGGAGCCTTATCCCAGATACTCAGGTGAATACTGAGTCACTTGGGAAGGAAGCTGGCATCCTCTCTTGACTCTTCTCTCCCCCCCCCCCCCCCCCCTCCCCAATACTAAGAGTTGGACTGTGTTTGGGATGTTCCTTAGCATTTTGTCTCCGTCAAATTGGAGTGAAGTCAGAAGAGGTATGGCCAAGCCTTGAAGTCCCATGAACAACCATGAGCTGCCTCTGGCAATTGCAGAAAGAGAGGTCCAGTCTAGATGTTTTAGACTGACAGATCATTTCCAGAAAGGAAAACATTGGATAAATAAATTTCCATTCCACAGTTACTTAATTTTAAGGTGTGTCTTTGATATCGCTCTGCTTTTTTTCTGATCCATGCTTAAAAAAGTTATGTTCCTTTCCCAGGATCCCTTGGAAATTCTTTCTCCTCCTCTTGCCTTCTGAGTTACTGCATTAGTTAACTGATCAAAAAGCAAAACAGTTTTAAAATCATTTTTGTTGATTAAATAAATATGTGAATCCCAAAGTTACTACGAATAGTATTATCCCATGTATTTAACAAGATCTCCTGATTTCTGTGGCATGTAGATTAAGGCAGAATTTAAATATCTGGGCCTATGGATCTAGCAAGGCTCTGGAGGGAAAGACACGGTGCACTTTGAGATCTGGAGAGCAGGAGGTAGCATTGACAGAAGAGAGATGTGAGTGCCACAAACCCTTTTGCAGGGTGGTAGGAGGTGGGGTACTTGAATTTCTTTGGGGTACCCTTTGGTCACATTGTCTCTGGGTCCCAAGTAGTCTGTAAGCTTTCACTGCATTCCAGCACCAAATTCTGCAGGAAATTGAAGTTCCTTCTGTTACTTATAGTAAAATATCCATTAAAGACGTGGGTTTGAGCATATCTGACTGATCATAATGTTTTTCAAGCTTTATGCCTTAATACCCTAACTTCCCAGACATGACTGTGTGCTTTAGGTTTATGTCTGCTTAGTCATGAATACAGTTTCACTATAGAATTCTGCATGTTCTTAATTTTTGGCTTTTTGAGCTAGTGCTAATTAATAAGACAAGGAAATGCATAACCAGTTTTTTGTGTAGATCTTAAAACCAGGTGACATAGGCTTTCCTGAGGAATATTTTGTTAATGCAATGGAAATCTTGATTGAGGAAAAACTTAAGTTTTGTGGCTGGTACTGAAGACATTGCTGAAGTATGAAGTCTGTTAAGGATAAAGGTCCACATGGCTTTGTGTGATCTGAGAGCTGTTTGTAAATTGTTTTGTAGTTAACATGTTCCAGCACATTGTATGTTGATTTGCTGTTTCTGGTTAAAATAGAGGTAATCACAGTGAAACTGGTAAGTTGCCTATTTTATGAGGTTGCCACTGCAGATTCTCACCAAGGCAGTTGAGGATGCTGTATCTTGCAAGCCATGGGTGAATTTTTAATAGCAAACTAGGAGCATGTGTGCACTACCCTCTGATCTGTCCTGCTTTTAAAAATTGTGCTTCCGGTATTTACAATGCACTCTGCCTCCTTGCCTACCATCTCACCACACCTTACTCATTCAAACCCTTCTTAAGATTCACTATATCTATATTTCTCACAAACAAATTAATAAAACTCTGGAAAAACCTCTCAACTTCTTCCCTCCTTTTTTTGGCTTATATGTGGTAATAATGCCGCTTTTTTTTCTTTTCAGTCTATTGCTGAAGGTTTTAAAGAAGCTGTACGGTATGTTCTTCCACGACTTATGCTGATCCCAGTTTATCATTGTTTGCACTATTTTGAATTATTACAGGTAAGACAGTAGTGCAGTTTCATATAAAGCATGAGTAATTTTAGTTTAACTACGGAGTTAATTTTTATTTACTGTGCATGAAGATAGGATATGAATATATTAGAGGGGTAGCCGTGTTAGTCTGGATCTGTAAAAAGCGACAAAGAGTTTTGTGGCACCTTATAGACTAACAGACGTATTGGAGCATAAGCTTTCATGGGTGAATACCCACTTCGTCAGACCATGCATCTGACGAAGTGGGTATTCACCCTCGAAAGCTTATGCTCCAATACGTCTGTTAGTCTATAAGGTGCCACAGGACTCTTTGTCGATGTGAATATAGTTAAGCATAAATTTTACAGTAGTGATTGCATGGTTAGAAAGTAAATTGATTGTTACAATATATTATCAATATTAAATCATGCAAAATTCAAACTACTCCAGTTCTCAAAGCTTCCATAAATCTTTGATTATTGCTTGTGAGCTGTGGCATGCTAGGTCTATTTTTTATTAAATTGAACTGGCATTCAAGTGAGATTTTCATTAATTTTACTTTGTTTACTTTTATTGCATACATTTTCCTAATTCAGTAAAAGATGGTTCAACTCAATGTTCGGGCCTCTCAGCTCAAGGCAAGCAAATCCATCTTATTATTTTTGGAAAACTTGTGTTTCACACTCAGCAAAATCAGAATAATCTATTTTGACTATTCAGTAGTTGCTTTGGGGTTCCAAGTGGCCAAGGCCGAGAAATAAATAAAGTAGAAGCTTTGAAAGCCCAGCACATTTTCCCCATAATGAGGATGGGAGAAGAGTACATCCACAACACTCCTTTTAAAAAAAAAAAAAGAAAAATTTTGGAGAGGCTTTCATATTTTGTACCTTAAAAAGTGAGGACATTCGCAAGGATTTGTGGAATCCTGATTTAGTTGGTAGTTAAATGATATTCCTGTAGCATTTTGTTTTCAATAGCTTTGTTACCAAGAACAAGACTGCATAGTTTGGAAACTGATGTGGATTTATAAATAATTCTATGTGTTGGGAAATAAAGAGACATTAACTATACAAAAAGTAATCTGCGGGTATGACCAAAGATTACCTGTGTATCTAGTGCTTCTTATGTGCCCTGGCAAGGTAGTCCACACCGCAGCATATGTTTTTGCAGGTAACCCTGTTCATAGCACCTGATAAATAGCATAATAACAGTTGTGCATATCTCCATTTGTCTGTATTTGTTTGCTTCTGATTTGAGTTAATGGAGACAGGGACCCAGGCAGGATAGAGGGTCCATCAAAAAGCAGAAATACAACTCTTGTTGGGAGTATGAGATCAGCATTATAAATGAATAAACAACAGAAATGTTACTAGGGACAATGCGATATCTTGGCTATAGGGAGTGATCTTGGGACACTTGTAGCCTCAGAGATTTTTCATGATTGCAGACCATGTGCCAAAAATGTTTGCCCATCTCTGGGATAGTAGAGATGGTGCTAAGAAATAGATTTGTAACACATTCGTGAACAAGTGAATGATTGATTAAACTATAAATATTTCAATTAAAGAAATGAAGTGACATTGGGTTATTTCTTAAATTTTATTATTGCATGAGTGCTAAGAATTTTTTATTTAAGCTCACAATTAAAAAGATTACATTACCTAAAATGTATTGCAGGGGTAGGCAACCTATGGCACACATGCCAAAGGTGGCACGCGAGCTGATTTTCAGTGGCACTCACACTGCCCGGGTCCTGGCCACCGGTCCAGGGGGCTCTGCATTTTAATTTAATTTTAAATGAAGCTTCTTAAACATTTTAAAAACCTTATTTACTTTATATACAACAATAGTTATATATTATAGACTTATAGAAAGAGACCTTCTAAAAACGTTAAAATGTATGACTGGCACACGAAACCTTAAATGAGAGTGAATAAATGAAGACTCGGCACACTGCTTCTGAAAGGTTGCCGACCCCTGATGTACTGTGTGCATATGGCAGTGGTATGGGGCTTGCCTCAGCGTGCGGTCAGTTTGTATTGTCATGCAACTAATACAACCTTTCAGTTCTATATTGCTAGCTGGTCTTTGTGTACAGTTCCAAGGATGTACTTAATATGTGTTGAAAGAAATAGCAAACTTTGCAACCTAAAACTTGTATCACATTGTAGCACTCAAACAAGTTAAAATCTACTTACCAGTGAAAAAACTGAATGGAAACTCAGGTTAACAATATTGGGTTTTTCAAGTATTTAATTCTGTTAATGCGTAAGATTGTTACCATATTTTTAAATGCTAGTTTAATTTTCACTCTTTATGCTGTTTACTTTTTGCAGTTCAGTCAAGGTTAGATAACGAAAACATAATTGGTTTTACTTGGAGTCTCATGTCTTAGCACAGGGCTATAATGTTTGGGTTGCCAACAGCCTGTAGTAATGTTTAAATCTAAGTGGTTTCCTTTTATTTTTAATCTGTGAAAATATTTCTACTGTTACTAAGTTTTGAAACAACATTTTTAACCACCTAAATTTTTGTTTCAAACATCTGGTCTTCGTTGTGGTTAGAAGATGTAAATTGCCTTAATTATACTACACTTTGAATGCCTTCATGAAGTTTATAATTTTATTGAGTGAGACTTAAAAGATAAACAAAATACATATCATTCTTGATTCTTGGAGTAGCCTGACTTGTTTTAGTTAGTTCAGAAGACATAAGTCTTCATACCACTAGCATCAATCGGCTATACTTTTGCGCGGTTTTTTTGCCAGCCCTTGGTATGGGGTCAGTACTAATAGACATGTAAATACAGTGTTTGTTTCAAAGAAGAATAACCATAAGGAGAACTTAATCATTGACAGTTGTTCTCTTTCCCTCACAGCAAAATGCATTTTCTAATGTGACAATTCTCTGACATTTTTTGAAGTTCTTTTCTTTAAAATGTGAATACCTTAACCAGTTTAGTGGCCTGTGTGATGCAGGAGGTAAAACTGATTATCTTAATGTTCCCTTGCTGCCTAAAAAAAAAAAATCTATGAATAGGCTATGTCTTAGTATTAAGTTGAAATATGAAATCTTAGGCTCCAGTCCTGCAAAGACTTAAGCATGTGCATAAAATTATGCATTGAGTAGTCTCATTGAAGTCAATGGAAGTACTCACAGTGCATAAGGTTAAGTACAAACATAAATCTTTGCAAGATTAGGGCCTTACAGTGTTTAGACAGTTTTCAGCTACAGGATCTAGTGTTTAATTTAGTGTGGTGTTTTCACTTTGGTGTTCTGTGCATTTGAGGATTACATGCTTTATTTACAAACTTGCTAGATCTTATTTGTTTCATGATTCTAGAAGACTTGTTGCTATTTATATTCCAAAATGCAAAACAGAGAAGGTACTTAAATCTTTTCTAGATAAGCTTGGTCTTGTCTTTCTAATCTCATAAGAGACTTTTTGTCTGTAGAGACTTTCAGCACACCAATAACTCCTGTTAATGCTAGTGGGAACTACATACACACACCCTCTGCATGAATGGAAGAACAGACTGTTGGGTATCATTAACTTTGTCTTTTACCTTTAAGCGTAGAAGCTTGTAAATAACTGCAGAAATATTTTGCTGGGTTTTTTTAAGTTTACTTAAAATGCTCTTGTTTAAGTTATAACTTAAAAATAGATAAAGCCGCAAGATGATACATGGGCGATACTTTGGCAGATTTATTCTTGATTATAAGAAAAATCCAAAGCTTTTTTACTAAGTGTGATGCATTTTGATTTACATGCAAAGATGAACAGAGTACCAGGCTTTGGGGCGGTGTTCTAGCTCAGCTACAGTGATTGCCACTAAAAAAATCAGCAATTGCCCAGTTATTTGTCCTTGTAAGTATAGGGAGGGAAACACTGAAATCTTGAATACCATTGTATAGTAAATGTTGGGAATGTTCAAAAAAGAACTAGATAAATTCATGGAGGATAGGTCCATCCATGGCTATTAGCCAGGATGGGCAGGGATGGTATCCCTAGCCTTTGTTTGCCAGAAGCTGGGAATGGGCGGCAGGGGATGGATCACTTGATGATTACCTGTTCTGTTCATTCTCTGTGAAGCACCTGGCATTGGCCACTGACGGAAGATAGGATACTGGGCTAGATGGACCTTTGGTCTGATCCAGTATGGTCGTTCTTTTGGGAAATGTTGCGTCTTTAATGGTGACAAATGAATAACTTTAGGTTAAAATTTGAACTTCATATTACATTGTGAAAACTTCTGCTCAGTGATTTAAAAAAATATCCCCAATGCTGATGTGTATTCAGAAAGGTATAGAGAACAATACTTACAATATATTAATGCCATTACATAAGTTGTTGGTATTCCTTCTCCTTGAATGCTGTAGTAACTTCATCTCAGAAAGAATGTAGCAGAAACGGAAACAGTTTAGACAAGTACAGCAAAACTCTTAGAGGCATGAAAGAGAGGTTTCATGTTTCTGAAGGCATGAAGAGAGGTTAAAAAGATTAGGACTACTTAACCTCGAGAGGAGAAGATAAATAAAAAAAACAACTGAATAATGGTATATAAAACAACAAATGCTCCAGAGAAGGTCAATCAGACACTTCTCTCTATCCTTTCATCTGCGTGCAGACCTGGTCGCCCCATCTCAAAAAAGATATATTGGAATTGGAAAAGGTTCAGAAAAAGGCATCAAAAATATTAGGGGTATGGAATGGCTGCCATATGAGGAGAGATTAATAAGACTGGGACTTTTCAGCTTGGAAAAAAGACGACTAAGGGGGGATATGCTAGAGGTCTGTAAAATCATGACTGGTGTGAAGAAAGTAAATAAGCAAGTGTTGTTTACTCATAACACGAACTAGGTCACCAACTGAAATGAATAGGCAGCAGGTTTAAAACAAACAAGAGGAAGTATTTCTTCACACAACGCTCAGTCAACCTGTGGAACTCTTTGCCAAGACTATAACAGGGTTCAAAAAAGAACTGAATAAGTTCATGGAGGATAGGTCTATCAATGGCTATTAGCCGTGATGGACAGGGATGCAAAGCCATGCTTTGAAGTGTCTGCATCCTCTGTTTGTCAGAAGCTGGGAATGGGTGACGGGATGGATCACTTGATGATTACCTGTTCTGTTCATTCCCTCTGAAGCACCTGACATTGGCCACTGTTGAAAACTGGGCTAGATGGACCATTGGTCTGACCCAATGTCGCTGTTCTTATGCTCATACAATATGAGAGCTAGGAGACAACGACAAAATAAATAGGTGATAAATTCAAAAGTGCTAAAAGGAAATCCCTTCTTACATAATTGTATAATTACCCTGTGAAATTCACTGTCGTAAGGTATTTGTGAGTCAGCTTACTAGGATTCAGAAAAGGAATGGGCACCTCTATGAACAAGCATATCCACAGTTCCATGAAGATAAAATATAAGGGATGTTAAGTCTTTTGCTTCATGATATAAGGCAACCATTTAATTGACTGAGGTGAGGAGATAACTTCCCCTGTGGCATATTAGTACATAATTTCCTGTAATAGGACTTCTACATCTTATTCTAAAGTATCTGGTTGTTCTAGATAAGCCATTGCTGTGGTTCTGTTTTAGTGTGATCCTGTGTGCAGTGAACTCTGCATTGGGATATAAATCTACCCATGTTCCCTGGCAGATCTAAGGACTGCAGGACAGCCTGTCTGTGGTTGATGTTTCAGCCTGTGGACTAGAATAGCAATGTTTGTATTTCCATGTGCTACATTTTCATGCAGAGGTTTTGGGCTACTGCATTCTTTAAGCTGCAGAACCCTGCACTGTTGTGCACAAGCCCACCTGTACAGCCACTCCACTCAGGACCTCCCTCAAAAGATATTACAGCCGGTCTCCCTGCACCCGCGCTCCGGCTGCGCCGCAGGTTTTTTTTTTTTGCTTTGTCGTTCTGGCCGCCCCGTGGTTTTTTTTTTTCCTTGGGGCGGCCAGAATGGCAAAGCCGGCCCTGCTGAGGACAGACTATGAATTATCTTTTTGTTGATATTTATCTTCAAATCCACTCTCTTCAGAGATCTCTTGCATAGAATGGCCTGTTACATAGTTGCCAAACAACCCAAAAGATATTAAATTCTGTCTTTTTTATCCCTTTCATTATTGTTTAATCATTAGCAGCAGATATAGAGAACGAACAGCAGCATTTTATAGACTTTCAGCACCTTATCGTTTGTAGTCACCAGTGAGAAATACATATGAACAAAAATATAGCTCCTCACCACATTATACAACATTTTTCTTACGTTGAGCATGGTGTGTTTTCATGCTCCATAGTTTGAGGGTATAATCACAAAATGCCACTGCTAATCCAGTCTCTGACCTGTCCTGAGCAGAATGCTTATTAGTGCAAAATTGCATAATGATCTTGTGATGGACAGCCTTTGGAGATAAATGTAGTCTTGTCCTTGACCACCACAGGTTGATTGGCTCCTTAAGTAAATCTGTGCCCAGCACATTAGTTCATCTAAAACATAAGACAACAGAAAAGTGTGTCAACACAATAAGATATTATTATAGTACTGTCTTTTGGCATTCTATTATATCAGTAAGGAAGAGTGTCTTAACATTTGTCAAGAGCTACAACAACTGTTCTCTGCAAACATTGACTCCAAAGTGTGTTCAGGTGCCAAGACATGAGACCAAAAGCAGAAATACAATTAATTGAACTCATTCTACAATTGCAAGGGGACTTTTGCACAGTTTTAGAGGATGTTCCAAGAGATTAGATCCACACAAGATCATCCATTTTAGAATACCAGAGGGAAGGAAGGAAGGAACGAAAATACCACAATTCAGTTCTTCACAACCAATAGTTGTGTTTATCAGTGGTCAGAAGAACTCTAATGCCCTTCATTCCTGTTGTCGGTCATTTCCTTCAAAAAAGAATAAAAAAGTTGACAAAACTGTTGTGATGGTCAGTTTACCAGTATTAATATTCTGTCACATCTCTGGCAAAAACATGTTCCTTTTTTCTTATCCTGTGAATAGCAAATAAATTGCACTCCTATGTTGTTTTAGTCGAAAAGCTTGGCTGTAAAGGGCAAGAACTTGAGAGAGTAAAGTTTGCCAGAACAAGTTGCCTGAAATGGATTCCGAAAACTCAATATGTTGGAAACCAGAAATGGGAGAGATTTCCCTATATCTTTACACAAAATGAAAATAGATGCCATGTAATGTCCACTAGCTACAGTTTTAGACTATTTTCTGGAGCTGTTTCACTAAGCTAAATACAACCTTTTTGTCAGTGTATGACAGCGATGATCTCTCATTTTGGAAAGAGTTTGGAAGAAATCCTCCCGGGGAATCTGAGGAGCAGAATCAGTATACTGTCACAATCCTTAGCTATTTGCGTGGTTTAGGACTTCATAAACCTCATGTCATTTTTTTCAGACCCAGTCTTATGTTCTCCCTCCTTTTCCCTTTGCTGTTTTAGAGTTTCTCCTTATGAAGTGGAAAAGAGGGGTTACTCACCATGGCAAGGGCCTTATTTTCTATACGCCTCTTCTCAGCATGCATAATCCTCACAAATTCTCAGATACAAAAGTTCTTTGATTTCCATGATATACAGACTGGGGAATGTTTGGCCATCTGGAAAATATAGGTGGTAGTACTTTGAATCACATAAAGGGAGAGGGCCCATCTGGTCAATCCTGTTATCTCAATTACTTTTAGAGCCAGCTAATATCCTTGCTGAGAGAGCATACTGGGAAAGAAAAAGAAGGCTACTGCCATACTGAGTGATTGTGGGTAAGATTCCTCTTGAAATATATAGGGCAAACGTGAGTTAGCCCATAGTGGGTGGCAAATTGGCTTGATTTTGCCCAGTAGACCAGTCTGCCTGAATTTTCTTGTCTACTAAGTTTTTCATGCAATCTTAACTTACAAGAGGAATTTACAGTTAAAATCGTATAGACTCTTCAGTTACTCATCATAATATTCTTATGCTGTTAATATTTTATGAACCATTATCTTAAAGAATGTGAAGTTTTCTGTAACCCCTTTTTTCTTACAAGTGAGTGTTGAGATAAATATCGACTATGAAAGCTAATTAGATTTTTGTAAATCAGTGAGTTCCTGCATAGTGGAGAAGGAAAAATCTTGTTTTCCCTAGTAAGTGAAGCAAACATTATCACTGGAAAAGCAGCAAAGAGTCCTGTGGCACCTTATAGACTAACAGACGTATTGGAGCATGAGCTTTCGTGGGTGAATATCCACTTCTTCGGATGCATGTGACTCTTTGCTGCTTTTACAGATCCAGACTAACACGGCTACCCCTTTGATAATTATCACTGGAGTTGATCATTTGTTGCTAGTATTAAATCTGGAATTTCAAACTTTATCTTTGCTAGTAGAGAGAATGGTATATGAAGTTGACCTTTGCTCTTACCCATCTGCTGGACTTGGTTGAAGTTATTACAACAATCTATAACCCACTAAAGGCATGTCTATGCATACAGTGCTTCAGCGGCGCAGCTGTAGTTTGTGTGGTGAAGACGCTCTATGCTGACAGGAGAGAGCTCTCCAGTTGCGTTGGCATAAAAAGCCCACCTCTGCGAGCGGCAGAAGCTGTCTTGCCAACATAGTGCTGTGCACACTACAGCTTATGTTGGTGTCACTTACGTTGCTCAGGGGGTGGAATACCCCCTGAGTGACATAAGTTTTGCCGACCTAGGCTGTAGTGTAGACATAGCCTAATAACCCTTCCTCAGCTGCTTTCTTCCCCCCTTTCTTTCCTCCCTATGACTGCAGAGGTGTTAATGGGCCACTTTACCCGGAATGATTCCTTGAGAATATGTGCTAACTACTTTTGCTAAACAATCTATTCCACCAAAAGAACAGGAGTACTTGTGGCACCTTAGAGACTAACAAATTTATTAGAGCATAAGCTAAGTGGGTTGTAGCCCACGAAAGCTTATGCTCTAATAAATTTGTTAGTCTCTAAGGTGCCACAAGTACTCCTGTTCTTTTTGCGGATACAGACTAACATGGCTGCTACTCTGAAATCTATTCCACCTTGCATTTAGCTGTGGCTCCAAGTACCTTTCCCAGACCTGAAGAAGAGCTCTGTGCTGCTCAAAAGCTTGTCTCTCTCACCAACAGAAGTTGGTCCAATACAAGATATTATCTCACCCACCCTGTCTCTCTAATATCCTGGAACCAGCATGACTACAACTACACTGCATAGTTAGTTGAAACACTATTAAACTACTAAAAAAGTGTGTCGTTGCTGTAGTACTGACATACAGCTTCAGGACTGTTCCAAGCCTCTAGACTAGTGAACGCTGCTAACTTCAAAGGCCAATGATCATTATGAAACAGAACAATTTAAGTGAAAGGATTTAAAGAAAAATGTCCTGTAGGGTTTTTTGACAACTCATGGTAAGGCTATCCAGTATCTTTCTTTATCTTAGAATCTCTCCCTTTCACACACAAGCTCACTCTCTCACTCAAAATCTATTTATTTTTCAGGATATCTGATAGATGTGTTTTCATTTCAGTAACTACTTTGACAGGCATTGGTGGTCTTGTGGGTGAGATTTGCAAAATCACTCAGCATTGGTTATTGACTTCAGTGGGATCAAAGTCAGGTGAACACTGAGTGTTTTTGAAAACAACCCTACATATGAATATATTTGTTTTTGTCTGTATATATATCTAAAGAAAACCTATTCAGTTGAACAGAAATGGATTTGTTTTGTCATTGTAGCAATTGCAGGAATGCAGTGAAGATGAAGAAGACAGGGAGTGCTTGAAACAAGCCATTACTGCTCTTTTAAATCTCCAATGCAGCATGGAGCGCATTTACAATAAACATTCACCTAGACGGCGGCCTGGGTAAGAATACAATCAAGGAAGCCTCTTGTAGCCCAAAGTAAGTTAGAAGGAAGATATCTAGAGGTGGCAGTGTTTCCCTATTTCCCCCTTCGTTGACTTATGTAAAAAAGCAGCATGTTTTTGTTCGACACTTGCACATGCCAAACATCAAAGCTAGCAGACTTCAATCTGTTGCCTTTCCAAGAGTGTTCACTTACAACCCTCCATACCCCATTCTTGAATAGTTTAAAGCCTTGTCTACGCTGCCACTTCACAGCGCTGCAACTTTCTCGCTCAGGGATGTGAAAAAACACACCCCTGAGCACTGCAAGTTTCAGTGCTGTAAAGTGGCAGTGTAGACTGTGCACCAGCACCGGGAGCCGCGCTCCTAGCGCTGGTAACTACTCCCCTTGTGGGGCGGGGTTTGTTTTTACAGCACCAGGAGAGAGCTCTCCCAGAGCTGGTGCCACGACTACACAGCCACATTAATGTTGCTAGAGAAGACATACACTTAGTCTTTCCCTGGTAATTCACTGTCCTTTATACATTTGTGGTTAAGCATGATTAGGTCATATTTAGGTTGGGGGTGGGGGAATAGCATACAGTGTTAAATTTAGTGGTGTGCTTTTCAGTCTCTGCAGCAGTAATATGGAAGAAGCTAACCAGATAAAACTGTTTGTTTCTAGGGAGACAATTTGTCGTTTTTACAACCGCCAAGTAAGAAGCAAGCACCTGGCCATCAAAAAAATGAATGAGATCCAGAAAAATATTGATGGTTGGGAAGGCAAAGATATTGGCCAGTGCTGCAATGAATTCATAATGGAAGGTGTGCTGACAAGGATAGGAGCCAAACATGAACGCCACATATTTCTCTTTGATGGTTTACTGATCAGCTGTAAAACTAATCATGGACAATCGCGGCTTCCAGGTTACAGCAATACAGAGTACAGACTTAAGGAAAAAATTATCGTGAGGAAAATGCAGATCATTGACAAAGATGACACTTGTGAATACAAACATGCTTTTGAGCTAGCGTCTAGAGACGAGAACAGCACCGTGTTTGCTGCCAAGTCTGCTGAAGAGAAGAACAATTGGATGGCAGCTCTGATTTCCCTTCAGTATCGCAGTACACTGGATCGAATGCTTGACTCAGTGTTACTGCAAGAAGAAAATGAACAGCCACTGAGACTGCCCAGCCCAAATGTGTATCGTTTTGTAGTGGAAGACTCTGAGGAAAACATTGTTTTTGAGGACAATCTGCAAAGTAGGAATGGAATCCCGATCATTAAAGGAGGAACTGTAGTGAAACTAATTGAAAGGCTAACATACCATATGTATGCAGGTATGCTTTATTTATTTTTCTCTGTAATTTGGCACATTTTGTAATATCTTACTAATTCTTTAGGTAATGTTTGGATAGCCAATAAGATTAATCTTTTTGTCTCTTGCTTGCTTTCCCACCGAATAGCTGTTTAAAGTCAAGATGTGGGTCATAGTTTAGGGCCAGGAGGGATCACTAGATCATATAGTGTGACTCCCTGTATATGACAGGCCACCAGCACACTAAACCCAACAACCAAAATGAGACCCGAGTATTACAGCTCACGGGAGAGTGGACTATTATGTGCCAGAGGCAGAGAACAGGAGGGACTGAGGTGCATCAGTGCTCGAGGCCCCCACGGTGGCAGGGAAATAATAGTGAGATATACCCCAATAATCCTGGCAAGTGAGCCACACCCACGTGCTGCAGAGGAATGTGACAAACCCCCAGAAACACTTCCAAACTGACCTGCCTATCCTTCCCGACTGTGAGCAAGAACCAGCCAGCCAAGCACCTGAGAGAGAGAATGGTTGATGCCATCTCAGAGCCCTGGCCCACCCCATGTCCCAACTCCAGCTGTGGCCATCCCTGACGCTTCAGAGGAAGGAGATGTTAAAAAACCCTCCTGGAATGCATGCAGAAAAAGAGCACCAGTTAGCTTATTAGGTAACTTTAGTAACACTTCAGTTAAGGGATGAATGAAAGAAATTAAGAGGAAATGCAATGGACGTTAAAAACGTAATGCTGGTGGGATTTTTGTAACATTTTTCAGATATTTATACTTAGTTTTCTGTTTTATAAAACTGTCAGCTTTGATTGTAGGTTCCAATTAGGTGTTCACATTCTAGCAACTTTTAAAATATGAATACTCAGATTTTTCCAGCAATGATCGGTACAGAATTCAAATAGTAAGCCTTCAAAACTCACCCCTATTTTTACAGCTAGAATTAACTGTGAATCGGATCTTGTTGAGTGACACACCTTAGAAGTGGACAAGTAAAGCAGTATTTAATGTTGATGACATGTTAAAATTCCAATGTCCTTAATCTGCCTGAACCTTGTCATAAGGCAGTGCTGCTTGGTACGTCTTCCAGCAGCAGGATGTAGCACAATGCAACCTCAGTTTTCCTCCTCCAGAGTCTCCAGTAACTCCATGTCAGCTTTCTTGCCTCAATAATACCCCTCCTTTGGGCCCGTTTTTTTTTTTTTTTTACAAGAAAATAGTCCAAATAGTCTGTGACAGAAACCCCGAAATATAGTCCATCTATCACTCCAGTGCATGTGTCTTAAAATCCCTAGACATCCAGTCTCTGATGCCCCACATATCCCACTCTGGTATCTTCTGTCACACCTGGGTTCTTCATCAGTCCTCTCCTTCTTCCAGGACAGCTACGCCAGCCCTTTCAGCTGGTGCAATTTCCACCCCCATTTCTCCCAGAGCCTCTCTGCTGGAAGTTCATCCATCACTTCTCCTGTACTACTAACCTCTCATATCCCAGACAGGCACGCAGGCAGCTTGGCCTTCCACTGTTCCACTGGCTCCAGTTCTCTAGGTGGAGACATCAGTGGATAAGCACCTTTGCTTCTGGCCTGCCTTCAGCCTTCCCCAGCCTTTTGCTCCAGCCCTCTGGCTTAGAAGTCAGCAGGCAGCTCCCTTTGCTGCTCTCTGGCCTTCAGCCCCCTCTAGCCTTGGCTCTCTGGCTTGGGGAGGTCAGCCAGCAAATCCTTCTGTTGCTCTCCTGCCTTCAGCCTTCCCCCAGGAACCATCTACAGCTTCCTTCATGGACCTCCTACAAGTCTTCTGGTCTCTGGCAGCTGTCACCTGCCCTCTTCCTGACTGACCCGTCCCCTGTCTCAGGGTATGTCTACACTACGAGGGTAATTCGATTTTACTTAAATCGAATATGTGGAATCGATATTGCAAAGTCGAACGTGTGTGTCCACACTAAGGACACACTAAGGACAGTAATTCGACTTTGTGAGTCCACACTAACGGGGCGAGCGTCGATATTGGAAGCGGTGCACTGTGGGCAGCTATCCCACAGTTCCCGCAGTCCCCGCTGCCCATCGGAATTCTGGGTCGAGCCGCCAATGCCTTCTGGGTAAAAAAAATTTGTCGTCATCCGTCTGTCACTAACGCCCTCCCTCCCTCCATGAAAGCGCCGGCGGGAAATCAGTTCGCGCACTTTTCTGGTCAGTGACAGCGCGGACGCCACAGCACTGCGATCATGGATCACGCTGCGACCATCGCTGCACTTGTGGCCGTTCTCAACACCTCGCAGCTTATCATACACCTTTCCCTGAGGCAGATGCAGAGAAATCGGGCGAGGAGGCTACGGCACCGCCGTGAGAGCCTGAAGTCGGAGAGTGGCACAGAGCTGTCAGAAACCACGAGCCCCAGCGCCCAGGACATGACGTTGGCAATGGGGCATGTGGATTTTGTTGAACGGCGATTCTGGGCCCGGGAAACAAGCACGGACTGGTGGGACCGTATAGTGCTTCAGGTCTGGGATGAATCCCAGTGGCTGCGAAACTTTCGCATGCGGAAGGGGACTTTCCTCGAACTTTGTGAGTTGCTGTCCCCTGCCCTGAAGCGCAAGGACACCCGCATGCGAGCAGCCCTCACTGTCCAGAAGCGAGTGGCCATAGCCCTCTGGAAGCTTGCAACGCCGGACAGCTACCGGTCAGTCGCGAACCACTTTGGTGTGGGCAAATCTACCGTGGGGGTTGTTGTCATGCAAGTAGCCAAGGCAATCGTCAAGGTACTGCTGTCAAAGGTAGTGACCCTGGGAAACGCGCAGGCCATCATAGATGGCTTCGCCGCGATGGGATTCCCAAACTGCGGTGGGGCTATCGATGGGACTCACATCCCTATCCTGGGACCGGACCACCAGGCCAGCCAGTACATCAATAGAAAGGGCTACTTTTCAATGGTGCTGCAAGCACTGGTGGACCATCGGGGACGGTTTACAAACATCTACGTCGGATGGCCGGGCAAGGTTCATGACGCTCGCGTGTTCAGGAACTCTGGTCTGTTTAGACGGCTGCAGGAAGGTATTTACTTCCCAGACCACAAAATAACTCTTGGGGATGTGGAGATGCCTACAGTCATCCTCGGGGACCCAGCCTACCCGCTAATGCCCTGGCTCATGAAGCCCTATACTGGCGCCCTGGACACAGAAAAAGAACTGTTCAACTACCGTCTGAGCAAGTGCAGAATGGTGGTGGAGTGTGCTTTTGGCCGTCTCAAAGGGAGATGGAGAAGCTTACTGACTCGCTGTGATCTCAGTGAAACCAATATCCCCATCGTTATTGCAGCTTGCTGTGTGCTCCACAATCTGTGTGAGAGCAAGGGGGAGACCTTTATGGCGGGGTGGGAGCTAGAGGCAAATAGCCTGGCTGCTGATTACGTCCAGCCAGACAGCCGGGCCATTAGAAGATCCCAGCGGGACGCCCTGTGCATCCGGGAGGCTTTGAAAGCTAGGTTCCTGAGTGAGCAGGGCAACCAGTGACTTTTCAGTTTGTGGACAGAAAAGCTGAACCTGCCCCCGTTTCTTTACCCAGTTCATTTTGACTATCCTCTCCAGTTACATACCCCCTTCACCCCCTTCCCCTTCCCAAAAAATAAAATCATTTCGATTTTGTTAATGAACACCGTTGTCTGTGTTGCTGTTTTCGCGGGAATATTTTAAACCGGGGACGCAGACTGTGGCGGGGGGCGGGTTCAGTGTTCTGATGCAAATGATGCTTCTAAACTCCCGGAATGCCAGGCTCCGCACTGGTGGACTGGTTATTTCAATGGAGAACATGAAAAACACCTCCCAGACTGACCAGGGTAACCAGTGACTGCACTGTGTATGTGTCCTGATGCTGGACCTGACACCGCCTCTGTACCCTGCTAAAGGTCACTGTCCTGCCCAATTACCAAGCCCCTTCCCCCCCTCCAGACAGACTCTCCCTCAAAAGAACCTGACTGAAACAGTAATGGAGAGAAACAAACATTTTATTGCGAACCAGACATGAAACGTGGGGGGTGAAACTTGGACGGGGGCTTGTGTGAGGTGGGTAGGAAAGGACTTATGAAATTTTGGGGAATGTCAGCCTTCTAGTGCTAGAGCAGTCTGCAGGGGTTGACTGAAAGTTTTAACGGCCCTTGCCGCCCCTCCTTCTTTGGAGTTTGGGTGAGGGTGGTGTGGGACTTGGTGGCGGGTGAGGGCGGTTACAGATAGACTGCAGCGGGGCTCTGTCCTCCTGCCTCCGGTCTTGCAGAACATCCACAAGGCGCCGGAGCGTGTCCGTTTGCTCCCTCATTAGTCCAAGCAGCTTTTCAGTAGCCTGTTGGTCCTCCTGACGCCACCTCTCCTCCCGTTCCATGACTGCTCGGTGCATTTGTGACAAGTTCTCCCTCCACTGTGTCTGCTGGGCTGCCTGGGCTCGGGAGCAGCCCATTAGTTCTGTGAACATGTCTTCACGCGTCTTCTTCTTCCTCCGCCTAATCTGCGCTAGCCTCTGGGAGTGTGCTGACAGGCTGGGTTGGGAGACAGTCGCAGATGTGTCTGTGTGAATTTTAAAAAGGGAGTGAATTCCTGAGACAGATAAATGAAATTGTATACAAAGAACCTAGTCTTTCTCTGTGAACAAGACCATGCACTGAACCTCTCACATGCGCACTCAGGACAAGGTCGAATTTTCGGCCGTCGCCTTCAGTGCCTGTGGACTTGCGGAGGTCTTGGAGTGATCTGAGAAGCGTGGCTGGAGACCTGAACTTCTGGAGCGGGCAATAATGGTAAGCCGCAGACTTGTGGCTGCTTAAAACTCCAGCAGTAGCACTGGCCTCCTTTCACATTGAAAGCAATGCCAGTCTCTGCTGCCAGCAATCAGGACAGCATCAACTCTGCCCCTGTCCCACCCCCTCGCGGCTGTCCCAGGGAAAGATCCCTGTATGCTGCCCCTCTCCCTCCACCGCGTGGCTGTAAAGCAGTCCCAATACTAACATTCCCCTCCCTAATTCAAAGCAGGGC